AATTTTATTATCCATTTTTTAATAAATAATAAAATTTAATAAATATCCATAAACTAAATAAAATATTTATTAATCCATAAAAATAATTCTTTCCTCACATTTTCCCCCTTTAATACATATTTACAAAAATTTTAAATGAAAAATAATTTTATTATCCATTTTTTAATAAATAATAAAATTTAATAAATATCCATAAACTAAATAAAATATTTATTAATCCATAAAAATAATTCTTTCCTCACATTTTGCCCCTTTAATACATATTTACAAAAATTTTAAATGAAAAATAATTTTATTATCCATTTTTTAATAAATAATAAAATTTAATAAATATCCATAAACTAAATAAAATATTTATTAATCCATAAAAATAATTCTTTCCTCATATTTATATATATATATATTAATTAATTAATTTTTTATTATTTATAATTTAAACTATACTAAGTTAGATTAATAAATATCTATATTAATATAAATATTTAATTAATTTAATAGATATATATTCTTTTGAACATCAAATTGGGAGTATAAATCGGTAGGATCTCCATTTTTAATAAATTTTTTTTATATATTTACTAATGTTCCATTAAAAAGTATTGCCAAATATATAAATGTTTAATTAATTAATATATATATATCAAACAATTATTATATTAACCCTATTAAATTAAATTATTTATATTAAATTCCACCCCTATATATTTATATATATAGTATATTTAATAATTATGTAATATTTAATGTTTTAAATTATGAAATTTATAATTATATATAAATTAATCTATTTATATAAATATATTAATTTAATATATAGTTATATATATAGGAAAAATAAAATTATCTGTAAATATTTTTATTTTTAAAAAATAAAAATTGAAATTAAAATAAAATTACATATAAATAATATTTATTAAGTATAAAAAAATAAAAAATTTAAAAATACATATTAATTTTTAAATAATAATTAATTTTCCATTTAAAATTTAAATAAAAAAATTTTAAATATTAATTAATATACTATAAATAATTTTTTTTAATCAAAAATATATTAATTTTTATAAATTTATTTATTAATATATATATACTTATTATTTTTTTTATTGTTTTTAATTTAAACTATACTAGGTTAGATCAATAAATATCTATATTAATATAAATATTTAATTAATTTATAGATATATATTAATTTTGAATCAAAAATTTGGGGATGTATAAATCGGTAAGGATCTCCTATTTTTTAATATTTATATATTTATCTAATGTTCCATTAAAAAACATTGCCAAATATATAAATATTTAATTAATTAATATATATATATCAAACAATTATAATATTAACCCTATTAAATTAAATTATTTATATTAAATTCCACCCTTATATATTTATATATATAGTATATTTAATAATTATGTAATATTTAATATTTTAAATTATGAAATTTATAATTATATATAAATAAATCTATTTATATAAATATATTAATTTAATATATAGTTATATATATAGGAAAAATAAAATTATCTGTAAATATTTTTATTTTTAAAAAATAAAAATTGAAATTAAAATAAAATTATATATAAATAATATTTATTAAGTATAAAAAATAAAAAAATTTAAAAATACATATTAAATTTTAAATTTTTAAACTATTTTCATTTTAAAATTTTTGTAAATTGTATTAAATATAATTATATATATAAATAATTTTTTTAATCAAAAATTATATTTATAAATTTATTTATTAATATATATATATACTTATTATTTTTTTTATTGTTTTTTATATAAACTATACTAAGTTAGATCAATAAATATCTATATTAATATAAATATTTAATTAATTAATAGATATATATTAATTTTGAATCAAAAATTTGGGGATGTATAAATCGGTTAGGATCTCCTATTTTTTAATATTTATATATTTATCTAATGTTCCATTAAAAAATATTGCCAAATATATAAAGATTTAATTAATTAATATATATATATCAAACAATTATAATATTAACCCTATTAAATTAAATTATTTATATTAAATTCCACCCTTATATATTTATATATATAGTATATTTAATAATTATGTAATATTTAATATTTTAAATTATGAAATTTATAATTATATATAAAGAAATCTATTTATATAAATATATTAATTTAATATATAGTTATATATATAGGAAAAATAAAATTATCTGTAAATATTTTTATTTTAAAAAATAAAAATAAAAATTAAATAACACTATATATAATATTTATTAAGTATAAAAAAGCTAAAAAAATTTAACAATTACATATTAAATTTTAAATTTTAAATATTTTTCATAAAATTTTTGTAATATGTATTAAATATTAATAATATATTATATAATCTTTTTTTAATCAAAAATATATTAATTTTTATAAATTATTTATTAATAATATAATATATTAATTAATTTTTTATTATTTATAATTTACTATACTAAGTTAGATTAATAAAATATCTATATTAATATAAATATTTAATTAATTAATAGATATATATTAATTTTGAATCAAAAATTTGGGGAGGTATAAATCGGTAAGGATCTCCTATTTTTTAATATTTATATATTTATCTAATGTTCCATTAAAAAATATTGCCAAATATATAAATGTTTAATTAATTAATATATATATCAAACAATTATTATATTAACCCTATTAAATTAAATTATTTATATTAAATTCCACCCCTATATATTTATATATATAGTATATTTAATAATTATGTAATATTTAATGTTTTAAATTATGAAATTTATAATTATATATAAATAAATCTATTTATATAAATATATTAATTTAATATATAGTTATATATATAGGAAAAATAAAATTATCTATAAATATTTTTATTTTTAAAAAATAAAAATTGAAATTAAAATAAAATTACATATAAATAATATTTATTAAGTATAAAAAAATAAAAAATTTAAAAATACATATTAATTTTTAAATAATAATTAATTTTCCATTTAAAATTTAAATAAAAAAATTTTAAATATTAATTAATATACTATAAATAATTTTTTTTAATCAAAAATATATTAATTTTTATAAATTTATTTATTAATATATATATACTTATTATTTTTTTTATTGTTTTTAATTTAAACTATACTAGGTTAGATCAATAAATATCTATATTAATATAAATATTTAATTAATTTATAGATATATATTAATTTTGAATCAAAAATTTGGGGATGTATAAATCGGTAAGGATCTCCTATTTTTTAATATTTATATATTTATCTAATGTTCCATTAAAAAACATTGCCAAATATATAAATATTTAATTAATTAATATATATATATCAAACAATTATAATATTAACCCTATTAAATTAAATTATTTATATTAAATTCCACCCTTATATATTTATATATATAGTATATTTAATAATTATGTAATATTTAATATTTTAAATTATGAAATTTATAATTATATATAAATAAATCTATTTATATAAATATATTAATTTAATATATAGTTATATATATAGGAAAAATAAAATTATCTGTAAATATTTTTATTTTTAAAAAATAAAAATTGAAATTAAAATAAAATTACATATAAATAATATTTATTAAGTATAAAAAAATAAAAAATTTAAAAATACATATTAATTTTTAAATAATAATTAATTTTCCATTTAAAATTTAAATAAAAAAATTTTAAATATTAATTAATATACTATAAATAATTTTTTTTAATCAAAAATATATTAATTTTTATAAATTTATTTATTAATATATATATATATATACTTATTATTTTTTTTATTGTTTTTAATTTAAACTATACTAAGTTAGATCAATAGATATCTATATTATTATAAATATTTAATTAATTTATAGATATATATTAATTTTGAATCAAAAATTTGGGGATGTACAAATCGGTAAGGATCTCCTATTTTTTAATATTTATATATTTATCTAATGTTCCATTAAAAAATATTGCCAAATATATAAAGATTTAATTAATTAATATATATATATCAAACAATTATAATATTAACCCTATTAAATTAAATTATTTATATTAAATTCCACCCTTATATATTTATATATATAGTATATTTAATAATTATGTAATATTTAATATTTTAAATTATGAAATTTATAATTATATATAAATAAATCTATTTATATAAATATATTAATTTAATATATAGTTATATATATAGGAAAAATAAAATTATCTGTAAATATTTTTATTTTTAAAAAATAAAAATTGAAATTAAAATAAAATTATATATAAATAATATTTATTAAGTATAAAAAAAATAAAAATTTTAAAACACATCTTAAATTTTAAATTTTAAATAATTTTCCATTTAAAATTTAAATAAAAAATTTTTAATATTATAAAAATATATTAAAAATAATATTTATTTAATATTTATAAATAACAACAAAACAACAAATATAAAAATGAATAAAATTAATTTAATATTTAAAATTTAATAACGTACTTAAAAAGTTAAATAAACACAAAAAAATATACAAAACCATATTTAAATAAATTTTTTATAAAATACACCAAAATCCTTAAAAAATAAAAATCCATCTTAAATTTTAAATGGAAAATTTTAAATGAATTGCCTGATTAAAGGGTTACTTTGATAGAGTAAATCATGTGGTTTACCATATTCATTATATTTAATAGAATTAAACTATTCCTAAAAGAATCAAAATCTTATGTGCTTCTTACACTAAAATATATTTATATGTATATATTAAAATTATTTTTATTAAATTTAAAAAGATAAGCTAATTAAGCTAATGGGTTCATACCCCATTTATAAAGGTTTTAACCCTTTTTTTTTAATTTTTATTAATTCATCTAAAATTTTATTTTTTTTAATTATAATCATAGGAACAATAATTACTATATCTTCAAATTCATGACTAATAGCATGAATAGGATTAGAAGTTAATTTATTAGCCTTTATTCCTTTAATTAATTATAAAAATAACTTAATATCCTCTGAAGCTTCTTTAAAATATTTTTTAATTCAAGCATTCAGATCAGTTATTCTTTTATTTTCAATTATTCTAATTTTAAAAAATAATTCAATTAATGAATCTTTAGAAAAAAATTATTTAATAATCCTTTCTTCTTTACTAACAAAAATAGGAGCCGCCCCTCTCCATTTTTGATTTCCTAGAGTCTCAGAAAGATTATCATGAATAAATCTAATTATTTTAATAACTTGACAAAAACTCGCCCCTTTAAGTTTAGTCTCTTATATTAGAAATAATTATTTAATAAGAATAAGAATTATTTTTTCTGCTATTATTGGAGCCATTGGAGGATTAAACCAAACTTCTTTACGAAAATTAATAGTTTTTTCTTCAATTAATCATATCAGATGAATATTAATTTCAATAAATTCTAATAATATAATATGACTAAATTATTTTTTATTTTATTGTTTTTTATCCATTACATTAATATTAATATTTAATGTCTATAAACTAACACATATTAATCAACTTTTCATAATTTTTAATAAAATAAAAAATTTTAAATATTTAACTTTTATAAATTTTTTATCTTTAGGAGGATTACCCCCCTTTTTAGGATTTTTACCAAAATGATGAGTTATTCAATATATAATTATTAATAATAGAATAATATTATTAATAATTCTTTTGATAACTTCCTTAATTACCCTATTTTTTTACCTTCGTTTAACTTATTCAGCATTTATAATAAATTTTTTTGAATCAAAAATTTTATATTATAATTTAAACAAAAATAAGTTTAATTTCATTTATTTAATCATTTCATTTTTTCTAGATTTGGTCTTTTATTAGTTTCAATAATTTTTTATCTTTATTAAATTAAAGGTTTTAAGTTAATGAAACTAATAGCCTTCAAAGCTGGAAATATGAAATAATTCTTAAGCCTTAGTATAAAATACACCGTTAGAATTGCAGTCTAAAATCATTTATTTGACTATAAAGCCAGCTATTGATTAAAAAGAAATAATTCTTATAAATAGATTTACAATCTATCGCCTAAATTTCAGCCATTTAATCAATCGCGACAATGGCTTTTTTCTACTAATCATAAAGATATTGGAACCCTTTATTTTCTATTTGGTGCATGAGCTGGTATAGTGGGAACTTCTTTAAGAATTTTAATTCGGGCAGAATTAGGACACCCAGGAGCTTTAATTGGAGACGATCAAATTTATAATGTAATTGTTACAGCACACGCCTTCATTATAATTTTTTTATAGTAATACCAATCATAATTGGTGGATTTGGAAATTGATTAGTACCTTTAATACTAGGAGCCCCAGATATAGCTTTCCCACGAATAAATAATATAAGATTTTGGTTATTACCTCCTTCTTTAACTCTTCTTTTAATAAGAAGTATAGTTGAAAACGGAGCTGGAACAGGATGAACTGTTTATCCACCCTTATCTTCTATTATTGCTCATGGAGGAGCTTCCGTTGATTTAGCTATTTTTTCACTACATTTAGCAGGAATTTCTTCTATTTTAGGAGCTGTAAATTTTATTACTACTGTTATTAATATACGATCTTCAGGAATTACTTTTGATCGAATACCTTTATTTGTTTGATCTGTTGTAATTACTGCATTATTATTATTATCTTTACCTGTTCTAGCAGGTGCTATTACAATATTATTAACTGATCGAAATATAAATACTTCATTTTTTGACCCTGCTGGTGGAGGAGACCCAATCTTATACCAACATTTATTTTGATTTTTTGGGCATCCAGAAGTTTATATTTTAATTCTTCCAGGATTTGGAATAATTTCTCATATTATTAGACAAGAATCAGGAAAAAAGGAAACTTTTGGATCTTTAGGAATAATTTATGCTATATTAGCTATTGGATTATTAGGATTTATTGTATGAGCTCATCACATATTTACAGTAGGTATAGATGTTGACACCCGAGCTTATTTTACGTCAGCAACAATAATTATTGCTGTTCCAACAGGAATTAAAATTTTTAGTTGATTAGCTACAATTCATGGAACCCAATTGAATTATTCTCCTACTACTATATGAGCTTTAGGATTTGTATTTTTATTTACAGTTGGAGGATTGACAGGAGTAGTTCTAGCTAATTCTTCTGTTGATATCATCTTACATGATACCTATTATGTTGTAGCCCATTTTCATTACGTCTTGTCAATAGGAGCTGTATTTGCTATTATAGCTGGATTTATTCATTGATACCCTCTATTTACAGGATTATATATAAATGCAAAACTTTTAAAAAGTCAATTTATAATTATATTTATTGGAGTAAATTTAACCTTTTTCCACAACATTTTTTAGGATTAGCTGGTATACCTCGACGATACTCAGATTATCCAGATGCTTATACTATATGAAATATTATTTCAACAATTGGATCTACAATTTCATTATTAAGAATTATTTTATTTCTATATATTATTTGAGAAAGTATAATTATAAACCGACAAATAATTTACTCAATTCAATTAAATTCTTCAATTGAATGATTTCAAAATTCTCCTCCTGCTGAACACAGATATTCAGAATTACCATTATTAACTAATTTCTAATATGGCAGATTAGTGCAATGGATTTAAGCTTCATATATAAAGTATTTTACTTTTATTAGAAATTTCAACATGATCAAATTTAAACCTTCAAAATAGAGCTTCACCCTTAATAGAACAATTAACTTTTTTTCATGATCACACCTTAATAATTTTAGTTATAATTACTATTTTAGTTGGTTATTTAATATTTATATTATTTTTTAATAATTATACTAATCGAAATTTATTACATGGACAAACTATTGAAATTATTTGAACTATTTTACCTGCTATTATTTTATTATTTATTGCTTTTCCTTCTTTACGATTATTATACTTATTAGACGAAATTAATGAGCCTTTAGTTACATTAAAAACAATTGGTCATCAATGATATTGATCATATGAATATTCTGATTTTATAAATATTGAATTTGACTCTTATATAATTCCAACAAATGAATTAAATATTAATAATTTTCGACTTTTAGATGTAGATAATCGAGTTATTTTACCTATAAACTCTCAAATTCGAATCTTAGTAACTGCTGCAGATGTAATTCATTCTTGAACAATTCCAGCTTTTGGTGTAAAAGTTGATGGAACTCCAGGACGTTTAAATCAAACTAATTTTTTTATTAATCGTCCTGGATTATTTTATGGACAATGTTCTGAAATTTGTGGAGCTAATCATAGATTTATACCTATTGTAATTGAAAGTATTCCAACTAACTTTTTCATTAAATGAATCATAAATTATTCTAATTCATTAGATGACTGAAAGCAAGTACTGGTCTCTTAAACCATTTCATAGTAAATTAGCAATTACTTCTAATGAAAAAATTAGTTAAATAAATAACATTAGTATGTCAAACTAAAATTATTAATTAATTAATATTTTTTAATTCCACAAATAGCTCCTATTAATTGATTAAGTTTATTTTTTTTATTTTTTATAATTTTTATTATTTTTAATATAATAAATTATTATTATATACTACCTACTTCATCAAAATCATTAAGTTATAAATTAACAACAAAGATATTTAATTGAAAATGATAACAAATTTATTTTCTGTTTTTGACCCTTCTTCAAGTATTTTTAATTTTTCTATTAATTGAATTAGAACTTTTTTAGGAATTATTATAATCCCAATAATTTACTGACTAATTCCTTCTCGTTATAATATTTTATGAAATAACATTTTATTAACCCTTCACAAAGAATTTAAAACATTATTAGGCCCTACAGGAAAAAATGGATCAACATTAATTTTTATTTCTTTATTTACAATAATTTTATTTAATAATTTTATAGGATTATTTCCTTATATCTTTACTAGAACTAGTCATTTAACATTAACTTTATCTTTATCTTTACCATTATGAATTTCATTTATAATTTATGGTTGACTTAATCATACTCAACATATATTTGCTCATTTAGTTCCTCAAGGAACTCCTGCAATTTTAATACCATTTATAGTTTGTATTGAAACAATTAGAAATGTTATTCGACCAGGAACTTTAGCAGTTCGATTAACTGCTAATATAATTGCAGGACATTTATTATTAACTCTATTAGGAAATACAGGTCCATCTTTAACTTCATTGATTTTATCAATTTTATTATTTAGACAAATTTTATTATTACTTTTAGAATCTGCTGTAGCTATTATTCAATCTTATGTATTCGCAGTATTAAGAACACTTTATTCCAGAGAAGTAAATTAATGTCAACTCATTCAAATCATCCATTTCATTTAGTAGATTATAGCCCTTGACCATTAACAGGAGCCATTGGTGCAATAACAATTGTTTCAGGAATAATTAAATGATTCCATCAATATAATATATCATTATTTATTTTAGGAAACATTATTATTATTATTACTGTTTATCAATGATGACGAGATGTCTGTCGAGAAGGAACATACCAAGGCTTACATACATTTATAGTAACAACAGGATTACGATGAGGAATAATTTTATTTATTTTATCTGAAGTTTTATTTTTTGTTTCATTTTTTTGAGCTTTTTTTCATAGAAGTTTATCTCCAACTATTGAATTAGGAGCTTCATGACCACCTATAGGAATTTCCCCTTTTAATCCATTTCAAATCCCATTATTAAATACAGCTATTTTATTAGCTTCAGGAGTTACTGTAACATGAGCTCATCATAGATTAATAGAAAATAACCACTCACAAACTTCCCAAGGATTATTTTTTACTATTTTATTAGGAATTTATTTCACAATTTTACAAGCATATGAATATATCGAAGCCCCATTTACAATTGCTGATTCTATCTATGGGTCAACATTTTTTATAGCAACAGGATTTCATGGAATTCATGTTTTAATTGGAACAACTTTTTTAATAATTTGTTTAATTCGTCATTTAAATAATCATTTTTCCAAAAATCATCATTTTGGATTTGAAGCAGCTGCTTGATACTGACATTTTGTTGATATTGTTTGATTATTTCTTTATATTTCTATTTATTGATGAGGAAGATAATTAAATTCATTATTTATCTAAATAATATAAAAAGTATATATGACTTCCAATCATAAAGTCTATAAAATATAGATTAGATAATTTTATTATTAACAATTATAGCAATAATTATTTTAACAATTTGTTCTATTGTAATATTTTTAGCTTCAATTTTATCAAAAAAATACTTAATGATCGAGAAAAAAATTCCCCCTTTGAATGTGGATTCGATCCAAAATCTTCTTCACGAATTCCATTTTCACTTCATTTTTTTTAATTACAATTATTTTTTTAATTTTCGATGTTGAAATTGCATTAATTTTACCTATAATTATAATTTTAAATTTTTCAAATTTATTTATATGAAGAATAACTTCAATTATCTTTTTAATTATTTTATTAATTGGTGTGTATCATGAATGAAATCAAGGGATATTAAATTGATCTAATTAAATGGAAAATTTATTTTAGGATTGTAGTTAAATTTAACATTTGATTTGCATTCAAAAAATATTATTTTATGTAATCTATCTTATAAAGAATATGAAGTGATACATCACATTTAGTTTCGACCTAAAAATTAGGTAAATTACCCTTATTCTTAATATTAATTGAAACCAAAATAGAGGTTTATTACTGTTAATAATAAAATTGAATAAAATTCCAATTAAAGAAATATGATGAACAAAAAAAAGCTGCTAACTTTTATTTTTAATGGTTAAATTCCATTTATATTTCTATATTTATTTATTAGTTTAA